GAAATATTATAGCACAAAATTTAAAAAAGCATTATTGCAGCTGCTCTGTAACACATTCTTAACAAAAAATTCACTATTCACAACTTTCAATACATTTTCTCTTTCAAGACATCTAAACTATATTTATGTTTTAAAAAACTTAGCAACATTATAAAACAGATCAAAGTCTTAATTCAAAACCAAATTTTAATGCCTACATCTTACAATCAAGACATTGATCAGCTTAACTCTCTTTATAATCTCAATATATTTGCTTTGTCTTATGATCCTAATCTTTTATCTGACTGAATAACTGCAGCCAATGCCAAATAGAAAACACTTTATTATATCTATAATTTGAAAAACATTAAAAATATAAGAGAACAAATTAATGATAACATAGACAAAAAATGTAGTAAACTTCAAAACAGCCTAACATCAATAATTAATAGTATACTTAATCAACACAAAGATCCTGTTAGATTTAAAAATATCAAAGAAGAAAATAACATTATTACTGAATCAACTCTTATCAAACAACATATTTAACAATACTTTGATGACTAAACAGCTTTTAGAAACATTCAATCACAATTATTCAACACAATGTGGCAACAAGAATACTAATCTAAACCTAATATTGATCCTATATAGTATTAAACAGCATTTAATGAATTCTTATTAATAGAAGTTTTTGAAGTTATCAGCCAACTCTCTAACAACAAAGCATGTAGGCCATCAGGCATTAGCTATAAAATGCTTAAACGTGCTATAACACTATTTCTTAATACAATTACAGCTCTCTTTAATTGCTATCTTACATCTAGACAAATTCCAAACTAATAGAAAAAAAAAAAAATTTCTATTTCCAAAAAGCCCATTTTTGATAACAATTTAACTAATACCAGACCTATTAGTTTGCTTGAACATATTAAAAAACTTTACACCAAACTTATTACTAACTGACTTAACTACATTTTTACTTATTACAAAATTTTATCACCCTTTAACTATATAGCTATATCTGGCAATAGCATAGCTATTTCTATACACATTCTTAACAATGTTATTAAAAAAGCTTATTGTAATTCTAAACAGCTTTGGCTTCTATCTCAAAACATGAACAAAGCTTATAACTCTGTAGATCTAATACTTTTTACCAAATCCTTATTATGTCTAAACATGTCATCCAATTTTATTAATATTTTTACCAACTTGCTTACTAATCAAATTTAGGTCTTACTAATTTATACATTGTTAAAAATGATATTGACCAAGAAGAAACCATAACTTCTTTATTTTGAAGAATCTATTATAATCCTCTAATTAACAAAATAGACTCAGACTTCTCAGAATACACTTTGGCTACAAAGTGAAACACTATTTTGCTTTAGCCAAAGTTTTAATAACTTTAAACCTCAGTATTTGTATTAGCATATATGGATGATACACTTTGGATAGCCAAATCCAAAGAAGAATTACAAACAATTATTGCCACAGCTACTTCCTTTTACCATATGGCTAACATACAAATCAATTTAACTAAATCAATCTTTATCTCAAACACCTCATCTACAGCTTCTATTCACTTCTTTAATTTATCATTTACACTTACTTTTGCCAACCAGCCATTCAAATTTTTGGGATGCTGGTTTACTTTTAATAACTCTCATATAAAACAAAGCCAATTAATTTATAATAAAGCAATTTAACTTATCAACATTATAGGCACCAAAAGAATTACAGACAAACAAGCTATATATATTATTAATATTGTAATTATTTCTACTATCAAATACAGATTACACAATATAATTTTTAAACATTCTACCTGTGACAACATTCTATTCAAATACCTTACTATAATTAAACATAAAGCTAAACTTTTTCATACTAGTTCTAACAGCACTATACTAAACTCTCATATATATAATATATATAATATTTGGGACATTCAGTTATAACATCATATATCCTGCTTTTAACAAAGAATTAATGATCTAGAAACACTTGAAATCTCTACAAAAATTAGATTTCAATAACTCCAAAACAACTTTTAGTCTGCTACTAACATTCTTTAGCACAATTAACTATTTATTGATAGATCCAACAAACTTATACTTAACTTCAAAATTATACAACTTTTATAGCATTTGGGCATTTCAATTTTAGCAAACTCTAATGTCTTGTGGTCTAACACAATTTATGATGATTATCAACTATTAGAGCTTATACTTATTTAGCATTCCAAATACAATACTTTTGAAAAAACAATATACTTTATTTAGAACAACTATATATTACAAATAACAGTACTTTACATAAATGGCATCATCTTTTACCCAAACTTTATTATCTAACCAAAGGAAGGCAGCCTCTTTGGTTTACTTATCTAAAAGATATAATTTTGTCCAACAAGCTATACTGCCTAATCCTCTCACATTTTCAATTATTTGGAGTTAATGCCTTTGCATATAACACTTTTCCAATTAAGAAAAAACTTAAACTATAATTACTTACATATAATAACAATAATGAAGAGATTATTATTGACAAAATTCACAAATATCTCCCAAACACAAATTAGTTCTTTATTTCATACTGAAATATTATTATCAATTTAGAACATATATCGACATAGCTATTTGCTCCAAGGAAGAACCATTTCTTACATTTTACCAATCTACACATGGAGGCCAAAAAATGACAACCAAACTAGACTACATCTACATCGAAGACAGCTATAGTCACTTATGCAAAAACACCTTCACATGCTATGATAACTCAGACCATTTATTGGTTAAATGTAAGCTTAGTCTAAAATCTAAGCATAACAACAACCCAATATGGAGATTTGATAGAAAATGCTGAAGCATCCAAAACACAAGTCTAGCATATTACAAGAGCTACAGAACATCTGCACAAGTGCTCAATCCAATCCATAATAAGATCATTTAAAAACCAACCCTCACCAAAAAAAAGAATACAAAAAATACATAGAAGAATTTGTAGTTTAAACAAAAAAATAGCAAAAAACCCTAATCTGAAAGAGCTTAAGCTGGTTATTGAAGACCTGAATGTAGAGCTTCAGGAAGAGCTAACTACAATGTCAGACAAATGGCAAGTAAGATCTAATGCAAAATAGATAAAAAAAAGAGAAAAATTGACAAAATACTTCTACTCATTATACAAAATTAAGCATTCAACAAACTGCAACTCCAAAATTAAAGACCCAAATAGCCCAAATGAAGTCTTACAAACACAAGTCATGAACTTCATCAAGGAGTCCTTTCAAAAACTATACAAAAGTAAAGAAATCAATGAAGAAGTTGCAGAACAAATTACAAACAACTTGACAAAGATTATATTACAGCAAAACAAACTATTAGAAAAACAAATAACAAAAGAAGAAATTGGTCAAATAATTGACAATCTGTCAAATAATAAGGCTCCAGAAACTGATAGCCTAACTTACGAATTCTACAAGAATATAAAGGAAATAATTCTTTTAACATTCACTAACTTGTTTAATCAAGTACTAGAAACAGGTCAAATCCCAGTCTCATGGAGTAAAAGCCTCATCACACTAATCACCAAAAAATCAAATGACCCTTCTAATATAAACAACTAGAGGCCTATATCACTAGTAAACTTAGATGCCAAAATCTTTATGAAGCTTTTTGCAAACTAAATCAATTTTATACAGCAGGCCTTTATTGCTAACAGATCAATCACAGATGCAGCACTAGATGTACTAATAACACTAAAAAATCAAAATGACCAATCAAAGCAATACTGGTTGTGCTGTTGGATCAGCAAAAAGCCTTTGATAGAGTTAGCTATCGCTTTCTACAGATTACACTTAACAAAATGAACTTTGAACAAAAATTCATTAAGGTGATAAGCTTACTTTTTACAAGCCAAAGTGCATACATAGTTGACTCAGGCTATATCTCAGAACCTTTTAGAGTAGAAAGAGGAGTTAGACAGGGTGATTCACTCTTATTACTACTCTATATCTTAGCTATAAACCCACTTATTAGTACAATCAATAGAGATATTAAGGGAATCCCAGTTAACAATGCAAGATTCAAAATTGCAGAATACACAGATGATATTTTCCTGGGAATCAGATCTTCATCAGACTGGACTAAAACTTTAGAAATTTTACACAAATATAAAAAAGCCTCAAATGCTAAAATTAACAAGACCAAATCAATTCTAGTACCTATAACATCTAATGCTAAAAGAGTTGAACTCTTAGGTCAATCGAAATTTAAAATACTTGATGATGATCAAAGCTCTATAACAATACTAGGCTACAACATTGACATAAAAGAAAATCCAGAAAAGTCCACTTGAAAAAGCCTTACAAAGAAAATCAAAGATAAAATTAATGAACTTTCACAAAGAAATTTCTCTTTTAAGAGAAGAATTTTAGTAGCCAAAACCTTACTTATTTTCAAAATATGGTATCTGGCATACTTCCTTCCTCCAACAAGAAAGCAGCTAAATAAAATTAACCAACTATTAACAAACTGAATAAAAAGAAACTCCAGAATGCTACCTCAATATTCAGTATTTCAGCTTAGCTATAAACAAGGTGGACATATTGCACCTATTCTAAAGAATATGCTAGATGCTAAACTACTCTCAACATGGCTCAACCTTTTATCAAGTAATACATTTTGGGCTACTGCAGAGAGAGACACTATAACCTCAGATCTCTATAACAAAAGAAACAGCTCAGTTTTAAATGCACTAATACCGATGCTACTCAAAACTAAAGGCTGAACTGACAGATGGAAGCCCTATTTAAACATATGAAAAAGATTTAAAGAAAAAATAGAAACTAGCAGTACCTGGTCATGCAATTAGAAGAAATCAAAATAGGAAACATATTAGGCAACTAATACAAGGTTAAAGAAGTTCTAAAAAGTTTTAACACTTCAATAAACTTCAAAAAAAACCAATTTGAATAGTTAAACATAAAAGAAGTTCTTAATAAGAAAAAGAACATAATGTGGCATCTTGCTCATCATGCACTCCCTCTAGGATATTGGCTTATACATGTTAGTCAAAGCAATCTGGGAGATTGCCCTAACTGCCTACATACTACTCAATCACTAGAACACTTTGCCTTAAAGTGCCCACTCAGCAAGAAGATATAGGAAACAACTTACAAATTTCTCAAATATACAGCTGAACCTATCTCTTCCACAATAGATAATATTCTTCAAGCCACTAACATATCTTCAGCTTATAAAGGAAAGCAGCCATCTGAATTCACATAAACACTTTATATAAAATATAGTGCTGGTATACCCAAGCTAGATGGAATAGCAAAGCTATACCTATAGAAATAATAATTAATATAGTGAAACTTAAAATAAAGCATGAAATTAATTTATTATATACACTTGTAGCTAGAAAATCACCAACTAGAAATAGAGAATTAGATTCTATCCTAAGATTCATAAAGTAATCTTCACAAAATATGTAACCCTATAATAATTAAATAATTATAAATAAAATATATGCTTAGATGCTTTTTTTTTTTTAATAAAAAAAAAAAATTTAGAACATAACTATTATTACTTTCTCTCAGATCTGAACTGCATACTATATACTGAGTGCCATTTTAACTCAAATAAAATTAATTGAATATGCACAATTAATATATTAGCAACTATTTGTATCAGCTTTTTAAGAAGAAAAACCTCTAAACTTAAACTTAATGCCAACTACCTAAATCTTATTTACTTAATAGTAATTAAACATCCTTTATAAATTCCATATAACTACTCTACTATCAACATATCAAATTCAACTATTGCCAAAATTTTTAAACTTAATAAATGTTCAAACAAACTTGAAGAAATCTTTCAAAATAATCAGTTATATAAGAAATTTATTTTATATACTGATAGATCAGTAACTAATATTGAAACTAAACAAAGCTCAATAGGCATTAGATAGGTCCAAGTCAACAGTAACAACCAAATTCTTTACAAATTCTCAGCTAAAATTTACTTTTAGCCGTCAGTCTATAAGGCAGAGAGCTCTTCTCTATTTTATCAGCAATTTCAACTATATCCTATAATTCAATACTTCAATTTATATTAACTCACAATCTGTTATCTCTAAATTTTATAAACTTTTTACTCAACTCAATAATCCTAACAAACTCTTTAAATTCAATACATAGCCTTTATGGCATACACTTCTAAATATTATCAAATCCTTTAATCTAAATATTAACTTTCACAAAGTTCAAGCTTATACAGATAATACCTTTAATAACATGACTGATTCTTTAGCAAAACAACACATCTTTTCTTTACCTTTAAACTTCCTATATACAAATATTTACAATCCTTTTCATATTTTATAATAGGAACAAAGTTTGTTAAACTTTCTATCAGACATTTTGTTAAAAATATCTATAAAGCACATATACTAGTAATGTAGTCTTTACAAAAAAGAAACAATGAATAGGCCTATATTAACCACTATATAAACTGAAAATCCACATAGCTATATCTTAATCATAATCAAAAACCTACATCTAGCTTTAAACTTAACTAATCTAAAATCTTCAAAATTAAAGTTTTTCTAAATTAACTACCAATATACTTTTCTTATCACAATATCTATCTAATAATCTTTCCAAATATTAACTGCTTTCGATACAATTTTCCTGACTCTCACTTATATTGGTTAATATGTTTTTTAATTTACCTTTTATTATAAACATTATTAACTCATCAATTCAGCACATTTTATCTAAAGCAAACCTTAACTTATCTACTAGTCAACTATATGAACTTAGTTGCAAAATTTAAAACTATTTTTTATTTGACTGAATACCTTTTCAAGCAAACTCTTTTTATCTTGATCTTATTCTTAAAGGTCTTATACCTAAAGCTCTAATTGAAATAATTCCTAACTACAATATACTTATCAAAATAGTCTTACAAACTATTATTTATATACTTCTTAATATTAATAACCAAATCTATAATCAAATATGTAAACCTTATTGTATTGACTTTTCTAACTAGAAAAAAAATTATTATATCTCTTCTAAGCTCTAATAATAACTATATTTCTTAACAAATATAGCAAATTAGATATCACAAAAGATCACATATAAACTATATATACTTATATCTATATAAAATAGCAGATCAATTATATTTACATTCTAATATCTGTTTACCAATTGAACAATCTATTAGAAAAATCAATATATGGTTGACATACTGGATTTTTTTTTTTATACATGAATTGGTGTTTTTTTTATTAAAATTAAATATTATAGAATTTTACATTATATATAAGTAAAACATTTACTATCTATGAATTTAACAAGTTTAAGTACTTTCTTGCTTTTTTGTAATTTATTTAAAATTATTAAACTTTTTTTCATTCAGTGTTCAATGATTTTTCCTATTGCCAGTTCTGAAGTAGTATTGTTTCTTCACATAGATTGGGTATACTAACACCATATTTCATAGATAATATTTATATATAGCCATAATTCAGCCTCTTGCTTTTTAAAAAGTTGAATATTTGATGCTATAAAAATTTCTTTGATAGTTGTGGGAAGAACCTTTTTTGCTAGGAATTTAAGCACCTTGTATCTCTTTTTTCAGATAGCTTTGCTAATATTATACTTTAAAGCAAAGTGATCTAATGTTTGTTTTTAATCTGAGCAGTTAGGACAGTTTCTATTATGTCTTTGTTTATATATATAAGCCTGTATCTCAAAAAAAGTGCATTGTTCTGTAATCTTCAAAAAATATTTTTTTTCTTGTTCAGAATTTCTATTGTATTAATCCAGGTAAAAGGATAGCTAGTGTTAACTGAAGTTTGCACTGCTATAGATAAAATCGATTGAGTTCTTAAGAAATCAGTTGCATTTTTAACTGAGAATTAGGAATCTGGTTGGCCTTCAATTGTAAGATCTGACAGATTCCAAGGCCAGTTGTTTGTATTTAGTATTGAGCCTTTTAATTTTTTTCATGCTATAAGATAGGGTCACCAAAAGTTTGGCCATCCTTTTAGCCTAATTGGGAGTCTTGTTAATACATAACCTATTGCTATGTTTCTTTTATCATGCAGTTGTTGAGCAATTTAAGATCTTTCCAAAAGCTGTCTGAATATAAGAGTTTAATCCATATTGAAGTAAGCCTTGAGTCAAGAATGTTCTTAAGAACTAGGATTGCAAGGCCTTCTTTGTCAATTTCCAGTTGAAAAGTTGAATATTTTGGCAACATTCGGGATTTGTTTTTAATCCAGTTTGAGATTAGATCATTAATTTTGCCTAATTGTTTTCTGCTTGGTGGAAGTAAGTATGCTATGTACCAGAACTTGAAGATAAAAAGAGCTTTTAATAAAAGAATCTTTTCCTTAAAGAAGAGGTTTCTCAATGCAACACCTTTAATTCTTTCCTTAATGTTTTGAGTTAGGTTCTCCTATAGCTTTTTCTTTGGGTTACCTTTAATATCAACCCTGTAGCCCAAAATTTTTAGTATAGTATTGTTATTGACTATTTTGTACTGCTCTTGGTTTGTAAGATTTGTTGCTTTGACCATGCTTGTAATTGGAAGTAAAATTGAGTTTTTTTTAATTTTGGTATTTAAGACTGCTTCATATTTGTGAAATAGAAGCAGAAGCTTTTTTCAGTCATTTGTTGAGCTTATTCTGATTGTAAGATCATTTGCATAGGCTACAGCTTTAAATATTTGATTGGCTAAGTATATTCTATTGATTTCTTCTTAAATCTTGAGTATGAGTAGGTTGAGAGCCAAAATGTATAGCAAAAAAAAGAGTGGGTCCTCTTGTTATACTTCTCTTTCTATCTTTATAGGTTCTGAAATAAGGTTTGCATCTGTTAAGTATGCAGTTTGTGAATTGAAAAGAAGTTTAACAATCCTTGTAAATTTTTTGTCAAAGTTCATTTTTTCTAATATGTGTGCAATAAAATTATGATTAATTTTATCAAAAGCTTTTTGCTAATCAAGCAGTAGAAGCCAATTTGATATTGTTTGATTATTTTAATTTCTTAGAGCTGTAATAATGTCTAGTGCTGTATCTGTGATTGACCTTCTTTTAATAAAGGCTTGTTGTGAATGTCTGATTAAAGTTTCACAAATAGAGTTACTTCTATTGGCTAAGATTTTCATAAAGATTTTAACATCACAGTTTGTAAATGATAACTAAGTGACTAATTACTAAACAACTAAGCAACTAAGCAACTAAACAACTAAGCAACTAAGTAACTAAGTGATTAGGCAACTAAGCAATTATTAAGTAATCAAAAACTTTTAGCAACTACTAGTAATAATAATAATAATCATTAGTAATTACTAATGATATATAATAAAAATTTATTAAATTTTCTTAAACTTTGACTTATATTTTCTTAATAACTACTGATTCAAATTGACTTAAATTTTTACTATATATAATATATTCAACTATATAATATTAAAATTTTAGCCAATTTAAATAATTCATTTTTGAGAAATTGCTTGTAAACAATAGTTATTTTTTTAAAAAAATCAACTATCATTTACAAGCAATTTCTTAAGAACAAAGGGAGTTTGATGATCTAGTAAAGTGGTCAGGTTGTCAACCCTCTAAGTGGTAAGTTGGATGTTCAAATCCTATCAATAATAAATATTTAGATAATTATCTATGTAATATTCATATTATAGCAACTGTTACTAATGATTGGGTTAGAATATCTGTAATAATAGTCACACCAGCATGACTGGCAGGTTATGGAACATTTGTGTAAGTATAGCATTATACAGAGGAATGCAAACTAACAAATTGGGCAGTACAAACACTAGATAAGTCCTTGTAGCTGTGTAAATTCATTAAAATTGAGTAACAAGAAGTCCATTTAGGAAGACCTAAGTAGAAAGATAGCTGGATCTTCAATGACTCTACAGTAAAGGCTAGCTTGGAGAAACTGATACCAAGGTTATAATACCTGGTCATAGTAGCTAGACAGGCAAGAACCTCTGAAAAAGGATATTGGGCTGCTCTGATATACTAATGGACTAGTTGTAGTCCTACATGAGCTATCTGAATTAGGAGTTTGATAAAAAGGCAGATGAAAAAACAGGAGTATACTAAAGTATCAGGGTTATGCTGTAAAGTAGATGCTGGAGTCTAAGTGAACTCTACAAGAATATAGCAGTTTAATGGTTAGCTCTGACCACAAATGTTAGTTCTGCCATAGTGATACCTAGGTCAGTTGTAAAAATAAGTACAAAAG